TGACATCGAAGGGAATTAGGGAATTGTTTACAGTGGCATTAGGGATAGAAGAAAAACTGGTTACAGGAAGGACTGGGGTCTCCAACATCATGGGAGAAATAGAGCTTGAGATAGCAAACGCAGCAGCCTGAAAGGTTCTCTCCCTTGGCAATCATGGGCAATACAGACGAGGGCATTACATAAACAGATGAGATCAAGGAACAAGGGAAAACAGGTAAGTAGAAGACTGTGCTTTTCATAGTAAAGGGATGGAAATCCAGCTTTAAGTTCTATAAGCCTGGTCCGGTGTTTGGGATAGCTGTCTACATCCGATGTTGTCTGCTTCTGGCTGCTGGGAGATCCTGAATTTGAGGTCATCAGTGGCTTTGCTGGTCAGGTCCTGTGACTCCTTTAAGTAGGGATGTATGAAGCCGGGGTCAGGTGCCTTCAAGTTTAGCTGTGCAGGAACTGGCGAGCGGTACCAGCAAGGGTCCTTTCCAGCGAGAGAAGAGGGACCCCTCTGGGTGATGTCTTTCCAGTAGGTGTACTCTCTAAACATAGGACATGAGGAGTCAGACAGCAGCTTATATTCTTCTTTAGCTTGTGAAAGATGTTTCTGGAAACAGAAAAAAGGTAACTAGCAATATTTTAATAAGTCCCATTGGGCAGTTTATGGTCAGACGATGGGGAGTTAGGCAGGTGCATGGGTCTGCCAGTTACTGTTTCGTAGAGAGTGAGCTGATGTTCTTCAAAAGGTCAGGACCTTAGAGTCTCTGGACCAGTGACAGCACCTCAGTCCAGGGAGGTTCTGAAGCCTCACAAAATTTTCCTAATTGGGTTTTAATGATGCCACACTAGTCATGAAGATTGGTGTGGGCAATGCAGCCTCCAAGGCATAGGAAGGACTCTGCAGAGCTCTTGGGTTGCCTGGCCAGTAAAATGAGTTCAGAGGTCACAAAGCAAACAGTGGGGTCACCCCTTGTAGGGATGGTCATTTCTTTACAAAAAGGCAATTGCTCAACAGGAAAAAGCTTCTACCCAGTGAGAAACATACAGACCATGACTAATACATATTTGTTCCCTTGTTCTTAGCAATTATGTTTAGATTAATCATGGAAATTTCTCAAGATATTAAACAGTGAACAACCAATCTTCCTAGCTGACAAATTTTATAAGAGAGATAACGTGAATTTATTTGACTAGTAAACCCAGGTAGAATCAAAGTTGTATGTCTACATTATATTTAATGCTGATAACTCTGAAGACATACCTATTTTAATTAAACCAACAAACTTAAACTAGCTTTTATTTACTAAAGATTTATCCTAGATCATACGAACTTGAAAAGCATTGGATTAAGTTTCTGTATTTCTGAGAGTTTTAGAATACTTAATTTGATAAGTGCTTATTTTTCTTGAAGCCATTTAAATAGAGCTCTTTTACAAATTATTTTTGGCAACACCATTCCGAAGTAGAAAAATGGACATTTACAACATACATAAACATACAAACAGATGCAAACAGAGATCTTAAGTTTTCATTTTAAAATTTTAACCTTGAGATAGGTAATGATAATGCACAACTCACTAGTTTATAAAAGAATAATTGGATCCAAATCACATTTCTGCCAGAAACTTGAGGATTCTATTTTTTTATGTATGCCTTAGGGCTTTCAGAGGCAAATTAATTACACGAAAATTTTCATGAGGTTGGCAGGTGACCTAGTGTCGATCTAGCCTGTTGCGTGACCCTCTTATCCTAGCATGGGAGCCTTAGAATTAGGGGGCGTGCATGTGCAGAACTTTTAAGTGCCCATCAATTTTGCAGTCTTGGCTTCTGAGGTTCCCATTAACAATAGAACTATTATTCCTTTACGTCATGTGCACATTAACAGAAACCAGCAGTAACCACAGAGATGAAACTGCGGACTGAACCAGGAGACCCCAGCAAATGGGGACTGTGGGCTAACCAAGGGCTGGTGACTCGGGTTACAGGTGGAACAGTCTGCCAGCCCAAGCTGACCTGCTAGGCCCTGGACTGCAGGCTGACCAAGGGCCCAGGACTCTGTTAGCATTTCCGTCAGTCTAGACTCACCCATTAACCTGGACTGACCGGAAAGCCAGTTCGATTGATAGCTCAATGCAAAGAGAACAGAGCTGGGAACCTAGGGGAACTTACCATGGCCCTCAGAAATGGCGAGAAAGGGAACTCACAGGGTTCCTAAGTACCAGCGCCTGTGTTTCTTGTCTGTGAAGCTGTGAGCTACCTCCTTTGGGTTCCATCACTGCCACGAAGCTGTTAAAAAAAAAAAAAATTCAACTGACTCAATTTTCAAGATATTTTGGGCTTTATTCATTTAAGTTGCAACCTAATTCCATGAGGAATTAAAAACTGTACTTGTCTTACAAATCTAGCCTTTACAAGAACAGAAACGCAGCATTCAAAGCCTACCTATCCTTTTTGCCAATCCCAAAACCTCCCCGAGTCATCTCAAAAGGCTTGCAGATACTGTAAAAGATCTACTTTAGAAAACAAAAGTCCTTCTCGGAGGAACTTGTATTCACTCATAAATGTTCTACCTGCCTTCTGCAGGAGCTCTTACCTTGAAATGCAAACTTCAGGGAGGTAATTCTTATCAGAAGGAAGAAAAGAGGGGGAAAGCTATTTGGAACTTAGGCGAATGACAAATCTTAAGTGTCTTCTCCCCAAATATTAATAAAACGTTTTAGCCACCTGAGCAGGTAACCTTAACTTATTCCAACTTCCAGAAACACGGTTTGGATCCAACTGTTCTTTTATAAACTGGTGAGTTGTGCATTATCGTACCTGTCTCTGGTTAAGAGCAAATGTGGACCAGGGCTTGCTAATCCTTTCACCTCCACTTCCTGCTCCTGGGAACTGCATTCTCAGGAAACTGACATCCTCAGGCTGTGCTAGCCACCTGGCCTCCCTGGGCATATGCCTATCTTTGAACCAGTGACTGTGGCTGGAGGACTCTTAATTGGCCCACCTGGGTCACTTGGCCACCCTTGGTGCAAGGGTGGGGAGTGACATCAGGGTGTCACCCCCATCCCCATCCTCACCCCCAAGGAAAAGCATATGTCCACTGTGAGGCCCAACCACCTTTTGCCATGAAAACTTTTCTCAATCCGTCAGGTACAATTGGCAAAAGTCAGTTTTCTCGGGGCCGAGAGGGAGGCTGCAGGGTGGGTGTAATGGAGTCGGCCATTCACCACCTAAATGCAATAATGTACAGCCATGGCCATACATAATTAAGGGACTTTCTGTTACTTTGCTTCTGAAGCCACATCTATACAGCAGTAACCCTGGTATATTTCAGGGGTTCTGGGCACAGGACTCAATAAAGCCCACAGTATGCTCACAGATACCTTGGGATTTTCCAGCTTTCTTGGGATTTTTTAAAGCCAGATGAGAAACAGTTACAAAACGCAGAAGGCTTTCATCCATTTGTTGCTGGAGGTGTCAGCAAATGCAACAGAAAAGGGGTGACCATTCTAATCATAAACTAGTTCGTGAGGCTGTGTTTAAGAGGCTCTTAAACTTGGTTTTCTTTGAACCAGATTGAATTAGGGTCTCTTCCTGTCACCCACCCCCAACTATAACCCTAGCACTAGGTATGGGGAGACCAGAGGCAGGGAGAAAAATCTTCTGACATTTATGGAACGTTCTTATGCTATTTCCAAATAGAGCTTTCTTACCCCCTAACAGGCAGATGCTCTGGGGAGGTCAAACTCGAAAATCCAGCATTAACAACACACAGACCCAAAGCCACAGACCAATGTCATTCACAGGAACGTTACTTCAAAAACGGAAGGCTAAGGTCTAGAGGTTTCATCCCTTTAGGAATCAGCACAAACGAGCAGCACGAATGAAATTACACGAGTGAAAGCTAGACACACAAGAATGAGCACACAGGACACTCCAGGCCAGTTTGCAGCTGTTCCTGAACAGAGCGCCAGGTTAGCTGTGCCAGCATCCGGGGCTGCGGCCAGCAGGACTGGGGGAGGAACAGCACCGGACACCATCTGCTCAGGCAGGCCACATGGGCTGCTCCAGGCGGAGCAGCCAGCCTCTGGGCACCTATTGGGCAAATTCCAACCATTCTCACACTCACCGAGATGAACTTCAGCCTTTACCTTGCCCTGAAAGAACTAGTTTAGGATTACTAGACAGGGGCTGTTTTTTCCTAAAAAATGATATCCCTAGTGATGAGTATTTGCTTCAACGTACGTATCAATGTGATTGTTTCTTGATGTGTAAAAATTACTTCTACTCAACCTACACAGGGATGCCTACCTGAAAGACCTTTTCAAAAAGTCTTATTTTCTATATACTTTCCTTTGTACTTTCAATAAATCTTTTTTTATAATCACAAAACATGTTATTTCAACAGTCAGCATTGATTCAAAATTTTTTAAAACTCAAAAATATCACCTCAGATTCACTATAGGGCAAACTTGACATTTCAAATGTGCTTCTAGGACAGCATAAAAATCTACTACTGCAGTCTGGTTACCCCCAGGGTCTCATGGAGGAAAACCCAAAGCAGCTGTTCTGTGGTGAAAGAAACCTGCGGAATCCAGCCCGAGGGGTTCTCAGCCTTGGCTGCCCGGGAGAATCGGTGGGGACTTGGAAAGCTCGGATGCTCAGGCACACCCCAGGCCAATGAAACCAGCATCTCTGGGGCCGGGCCCAGACATGAGTGCTTGCGAGATTCCCCACGTCCTTCCAGCACAGCCAAGCTTGAGAGCCACCGCGTAAGGAAGTGTTAGCTCCAGCTCCCTCCTTCACAGATGTTCAAGGCTCAGGCCCCCTTCACAGGGAGGTGTTTCAGTCCACCAGAGCCTTCTGTGTCCTCGGGCTGCATCAGGCCTAGTTCTCTGTGGATGGGCAGACTGCTGACCAGTATCAGGCCCTAGATAAGGAAGCACGCACTTGTGAGCACAGGCAGGTAAATGCCATGCCCCACTAACCGTCTCATCTCCTCGGATTCTCTGCAGGAGCTACAGTGATAGCTGTTTCCTGGATTCCTCCTCCCTCTATCCAGAACTAGCTGACGTCCAGTGGTACGGGCAGGAAAAGGCCAAGCCCGGGACCCTTGTGTGAGCCAGCCGGCCTCAATCTGACCGCCTCAGCGCCATTCTGAGATCACCTCACTGACTCTCATTTGCCTTACCCAGACGCACTGTCACCCTGCACCAGCTTCGGCCCTCAGCACTTTTTTTCTCCTGTCTCCGCATCCCCTCACCCTCCAAAACCTGACTGAGGAGACATTCTGGAAGGTTCCGGTCCCACTGTGTGTCCCCTGGCTCTCCTGCCTGGAGAGAGCCAGGCACCAATCCTCAATGGCACCTTGGTGGTGTCCTCCCCTGCCGAGCTAGCCCCCAGGCCAGGAACCGTCAGGGAAGCTGGCTGGCACCAAATTCCTGTGGACAAGTGGCATAGGTAAAGAACAGGAAAGGAGACGCAAGTACAGGGTGATCCAGAAAGACTGTTAAGCTGTGGCCAGCCTGCCACCTGGAGGCCAATCGAGCACTTGGAGAAGAGGATGCCTGGTGGGGATGTTCCAATGACACCTGCAATAGTACGTGGCTGTTGGGGGAGGGGAGAATGCAAAAGGAAGCTTATAACTCATCAGATGCATCAGAGGATCACAATCAGTTCTATGCTGCCAAAGATTTTAAAAATTTAAAAATAAAAACAAAAACATAAGAGGGGCCAAGAGGAAGACATTCTTTCTGCAGTGAAATCTCTTTTAAATTCTAAACTGCTACAACACACAAGTGAAAGTCAACCATTTGTAAATTGTTTCCCCTCTCTATCCTGCTCCCTTAACGTTCCACCTTCTCTCTCAGTGGAGAGCCTGAGAAACTAACATGACGTGACGGTCAAGTCGGCGAGTCTTGGCTGGCCTGGCTGGCTCGGACGTCTGCGCGCCTGGACGTGAAGGAGGGCAGACCTGTGGGAGCAGCAGGGTGCACTGTTAGCCCTGGTCCAGACAGGGGGTTCAGCCCAAGTCTAAGACACAGAGCAGCTTTCCTCTTGGGATTTGTAGGAAACGTAAGGTGATGATTGCCAAAAGTGGTTCTCTCTCATTAAAACAACCTGTAAAAGTGTGTCCTATTATTTTTGCACAAGGTGTTTCATTTTATTTTCGCTGGGAAACCAAGGGAAAAGCACACTGCGATCCATTCACGTGTTTAACTGTTGTGGCTCATTTTATGTTTGTTAGCACTTGTGTGACAAAGAGCTCAGATCCAACTTTGGTTTCCAATGTGTCACTTACTCAAAAAACCCAACTGTGCCCTTAGGTAGAAAGATTTTACTCATGCGTCTACTAGGCAGAGCAGGGCTGAAACAGTATCAGCTCCCAGGGGGCCCGTATGCCTACATCATCAGCTACCCTGACATACCACATTTGTGTGCAGGTACCAAAGGAAGAAAGAAGCAAAAAGGGCATGGGAGCTGCACGTTTACATGTGTTTTGAGCTATGCTTAATACACAACTGGAAAGCCATCAATCTTCAAAGGCCTCAAAACTACTTTTATAATAATAACAAGTGCAAACTCTTAGTTGGGTCATTCAAAATGGCACAAACACGGTCTCCACCGACGTGGTATGCTGTGCTTATTGGCGCAAGTAGGGGGCGGGGGGTATTTTTTTCTCACTTGTAATAACTTCCTATTGGAAAGGCATTTGACAGCCAGAGACAGGAGCCGGGGTGGGGGTGGTTTTGTGGGAAAGCAGAACTGAAGTTAGCTTTAGTGTAAAAACAAAAACCTTTGTTCTTTATATATGTGTGACCTAAGAGTAACAATGGACCACCAGACCAGGAGGGTAAGAATGGACATTAACGAGTGACTCACCGTGGTGCGCTGTGTGCTGCAGCTGGAAAAGCGCCGTGGACTCAGCAGGTGGGGACCCATCTGGGCGATTCGGGGTGTGGTCTCCCAGCTCTGTGTGCGGCTGGGCTGGTGATACCAGCTTGCAGAAGGGATTAATACTCCAGAACACTTTAAGGGTAAACCCTGCAGGATAAATAAAACTGGTTGTAATGTTCCTAAATGATCCTGGGGATTGATTGGGGGGGGGGGTATTTTGTTGCTCTTATTTTGATGGTCAGAGCTACAAACAGGGTTTTTTCCTTCCCTACTCGGAGACATCATACATTGGGCCATTTTTCTTTCTCGCAAAAGAAGATACGTGGATAATCAAACTGAACTATGTGCAACAGGAAAAGTCAAAAGGGAAATAGAGAAGGTGACATGGTTACACAACACGTACAGTAGATTGAGATCAAGTCTGAAGTCAGTCAGATGAAGCTTTTAGCCCAGTTCAAGGAATGAGAGCTGAAAACTTTCTAAACACTTGGGTTCTAGATTCGGGGGGCAGAAAGGAATGGAGAGGGGGAATTACAGTTCAGACAGACATCATGATAGTCTGGTAGTAAAGACGGAGATTAAGTAAAACAGGTTTTACTGTTTAGCTGCACTCAGTTACTACAAAGTGTACATAAAGTATTAGTCCTTTGAGACTGACATGATTGATGAGCGATCAGTGTGGTGGGAAATGGGATAGTTATTGTCTACAAGCACTTGCAAGCTCTCTATAGAGCCCTATTTCTTTAAGATAAAGCAAGATGAACCATGAAGCCCCTAGTCTGATAGAAAGCCCCTACTGGATTCTGTGGAAACGTGTAAGAAATTGCCTGTTGAGCCAGAAGACTGGTGAAAACACCTATATCAGACTTTGTTGTGAGACAGGTGGATTTATTTTATTATGTGGAGGTGAGTGTTGGAACTGTTAAAATTCTAATTTGTTTTTATTCAGTATTAGTTTAGTTCTAAATATAGCAAACCCCATCCAGGTGCTATCAGATGACCAGTTACTGCTTAGTTAACTAGGTGTAAAGTTTTTCATACACATTAATGTCAATAGTTTATTACAAGTTGTGTAAAATGGACTCTAGTTTAATAATGGGGGAAAAAGGATTAGGTTGCTCCTGAAACTGTAGAGCATGTAAAATGATTTTACTGGATTCTGTTCAACTGTAATCAATGAAAAAGATGTATGTTGTAGACAAAGTTGCAGAATTAAAAAGAAATCTGCTTTTAATTTATTCTTTTTGTATTAAGAATTTGTATAGTACCTTTACATTTTGCAAAACAGTGTTGTCAACACTTATTAAAGCATTTTCAAAATGAAAAGATCTCAGCTGCCTCCTGGAGATTTTGTTTCTAAGTGATAAATGCTTAAGCATGCCCTGGAAATCTGTCATTTGGGTGTCTGTGTCCTCACTGGCCTCGTTTATAAGGTCAGTTTAGGTATTCTTACCGGCTTGCTAGATGATGTAGACGAGCTTGGCTCATGGAGCAGAGGCTAATTCCTCTTATTCTAGTTTCCTTTCATTACCTATACAAATAGCATTCTCAATTGCGTATTCCTCCTACTCCAAGAAAGGATTTGAGATTAGAGGTCAGTCTTGGTCAGGATGCTATTTCAGTATCTTTACTGCTGTTCATTACAAATAGTCCCCACGGGCAGCATATGCCAGCCATGGGCACTATTCCCCCAGAACAGTCCCCAGTGGAAGACACAGGGATCTGGGCTCGGGGTCACGGTAGTCTGCGTGTGGCGCGTGGTTCTGAGAAAGATGCAGAGGGCCAACCAGGGAGACAGGCAGGATGCTCGGGCTCTACCGCCACTGTTCACCTCTGCTCACACCGCAGCTCCAAGTGTCACCCGCTGTCCACATCCTATCACCAAAGCAACAGCCCGCTGGCTTGCAGGCATAAAAATTCCTACGTTTGGGCCGGCCAAGTGGTACGTTGGTTAAGAGCTGGCTTGGGATGCCAGCTCTGAGCAGCAGGGCCCCGGTTTGGATCTCACAAGGGGGTCAGTGATGCTGCGCCCTCTACAACTAAGATGGTGAACAACAGCTCCATCTGGAGCTGGGCTGCCATGAGTCACTGGCAGCCAGCATAAGCTGCCAAGAGCCGCCGTTAGTGGCCGTCCAGTGGCCGATGACCAATCTGCCTCACCTGGGAAGAGCGCAATGATCACAATACCAACATGGGCCAGTGAAGCAACGTCCTCCACAACTAGACTGAAGAACAAAAGGACAGCAACTTGTCTGTTCCCCTCCCCCAATTCCCCAATAAAATCTTTAAAAACAAAAAAAAAAAAGTCCTATATTTATGGGCAAAATGGTAGTAACCAGCTGACTTTAGTAGAGACTTTGCCGCAAGTGAATCCCTGACCCCTAACCTAACCCAACACGCATCTCTTCACTATCAGGGAGCTAGAAGTCTGGTGGCCAAGAACATCCCGGGATGGAAAGCCCTCCCCGGATGGAAAACCCTTGCTGAAGCATTTGCCACTGGAGTGGCCTAACCCCTGCCAAAAATGAGAATAATCCGCTGAGAATGCAAAGTATGTCTGGAAGTGAGCCTATTAAGAGAGAATGTTATGCACTTCCTAAGCCTCTCCTTGGGAAAGCGACTAGGGGCTCTGTATCAACATAATCTACACTAATTTCCAACAAACAAACAGGGATCTTCTAAAAGTTTTTTACATGTAAATATGTCCTAGCTCAGGAAATTTAGTATCGCCTCATTAAGCTCTATCACATGAAAGCAACTGGCACCCATGAAGGTGGGACTTCTCCATTTCTTTCCCCCTTCTTCCTACCTTTCACCCCTATCTCTCTCTCTCTCTCTCTCTCTCTCTCTCTCTCTCTCTCTCTCTCTCTCTCACACACACACACACACACACACACTTCCCACCTGTCTCTTCTCCCCCCACCACCCTGCTCACACAGTACCAACAAGGCAATTCCGAAGTTATTAGTTTGGTTATTAGAGAACACAAAATACTACAAAACACGAAGTAAACACCCAGAAGAAAGCATTAGAAATAGCCAGGCCATTCCTTCCTTTCTCCCAAAATACCAGTTCAAAAAACCCCACACGTAAAATTCTCTCTAAAAAAAGGGGTGTCATTAAACCACTGATGAGGACTAGCGAGCAGGCGATAGGCCACCACTGAAGTCATTCATTGCATGTTCTGTGCTGAAAAAGCTTCCAC